GACGCCCTGTCGAGGCAGGGGCTGATGCCCGGGGAATGGAGGCTCCACCCCGAGGTGGTGGAGCAGATATGGCGTATGTTCGGCCGAGCTCAGGTGGATCTGTTTGCGACTCAGGAGACATCGCACTGTGCCCTCTGGTTCTCTCTGACTCATCCAGCTCCCCTAGGACTGGATGCTATGGTACAGACGTGGCCGAGGCCGCGTCTGTACGCCTTTCCTCCGGTCGCTCTGCTCCTGGGAGTTCTGGAGAGAGTGCGCTGGGAAGGGGTCCGCTTGTTGCTAGTAGCCCCGTTCTGGCCGAGCCGAGTATGGTTCTCGGACCTGAGTTCCCTACTCGACAGCTCTCCATGGGAGATTCCCGTCAGGAGGGACCTCCTCCCACAGGCGGGGGGCGACATCCTTCACCCCCACCCGGAGTTGTGGAAGCTGTGGGTGTGGCCTCTGAGGGGGCACAACTCAGAGCTTCCGGTCTCTCAGCCGAGGTTGTTGAGACCATCCTCCAGTCCAGAGCGCCCTCAAGGAGGAAACTGTACGCCCTGAAGTGGAAACTTTTCACTTCCTGGTGCGGAGACCGCCGGCTCGACCCTGTTTACTGCCCAGTTGGTACAGTGCTGGAGTTCCTGCAGGCCCATCTCTCCGCAGGGCTGACCCACTCCACCCTGAAGGTCTACGTGGCGGCTATTGCGGCCTATCACGGTCCCCTCGGTGGTCAGTCAGTGGGCAGGCACCCCCTGGTTACACGGTTCCTCCGCGGTGCGCCGAGGCTCAGACCTCCAGTGCGATCTCGGGTCCCTCCGTGGGACCTGGCCGTGGTTTTAGAGGCTCTCTATAAAACCCCCTTCGAGCCTATAGAGGAGATTTCGGACCGTCTTTTGACATTGAAAACTGCCTTTCTCTTGGCTATTTCCTCTCTTAGGAGAGTGGGGGATCTTCAGGCCCTCTCTGTGGCCTCCTTTTACTGAGACTTTGCGCCCGGTCTGGCCAAAGTGTTCTTGTACCCCCGAGCAGGGTACGTACCGAAAGTTCCCTCCTCGGCACCACGGCCGGTCGTGCTGCAGGCCTTCTGTCCTCCTCCCTTTCGGGAGCCCGACCATCGGAAGCTTAACTGTACGTGTCCAGTGCGAGCACTGGATGCGTACGTCCACAGCTCGAGTTCCTGAAGGGGAACGTCTCCAGGTTATGCATGTAACCATGGTTCCCCGAGGGAACGAGACGCTGCGTCTCAGTGCCACACTTCTGGCATCCCTGCCGCGCTTGCCTCATTTCTCACTTGCCGCTCGGGCTTTTATGCTTCCGGGTCGCTATGTCACCCCGCCCTTGATGTCTCGCCCATCCATTGGACTGATTACACACGTGATTCAGAGCGCGGTCACGCTGAAGGCGTTCCCATAGCGTTTCGACGC